GCTTTGTTTGGCGGCACATTATATATCACGACGGCGTCCACGGCACGAGCGGGATGGGAGTTTCTATGAGGCAATCAAGGAATGGCACAACGTTTTGATTTTCGAGCATCACACCAAATCGGTCTCTCAGAAGGGGAGCCCCTTTTCACACTGGCGTCTATTTGCATTTTTTTGAGGAGAAAGGAAGAGAGATTTTCGAGGAGACCTACGGCATTCCAACTTCGCTTCTATTCACTCCCGCACAGCACAGGCTCTAGGGTTCTGCATCACTTGGGGTATATCGGTCACGTCAGGCAAGCTCTCATCGTCTTCCTTCGAGATTTCTCTTCCACATGTACGTTAACGTCGGTCCCAGTTTTCGTACGGTCTGGGTTCAGTTGGCACAAAGGTCAAAAATAAAGCATTTTTACCGCTGCTGTAAGCGGGTCTCCGTTTCCCAAACCTCTCGTGGAAGACGATGATGGTAGTCTTGACGTGACCAAACCAAAAAGCCCTCCTGTATATAACTTGTGCCGCGATTCTTGTTGTTGTTGTCGTTGTTGTCGTTGTTGTCTTGGTGCTTTCTACCAAGTGGTCCCCGGTTGAAAGCCTGCATCACGTCTGATGAAACCCCTTTTCTTCCATCCGAGAGGCTAATATGGCTTTGTAGATGACGACCTTCCTTCGTTCGAAGAAGTTACAACAAGCGTAGACGCTTTGGTTTCTGACGAGCCTATAACGACGATACGTCAGCCGCCTGGAGCGTTCGATAACTTTGGCCGCATGGGTACTCCTATCGTTGCTCCTCCTCCGGGGCTGGGTATGCCAATCAGTCACCCTTCCCCTGCTAATTCACACTCGTCTTTGAGAACGGGCACTCAGACACCGCCAGTCGCCGTACCTGTTGTGCCTACTAAGACAAACACAGCAGCATCAACGGCACCGCCTACAAGTACACCGGCAACGGCAACGGCATCTAGTGCAGCTGTTTCCACAGCACCCTCAACCTTTTCAACGCCTACGACAGCTCCCAGCCCACTTGTCACCAAGAACGCTGGAAAGAAGGCGGACAAGGGCTTGCGACAATGTCCCTTCTGCTCCACGGATTTGCCTCTTGCTAAGGACGGAAAGACTATCAACGTTTCGGAAGCAGAGAAACACATTGACTCGTGCGAAAAGGAAAAGAAGGCCACTGAGGCCAAGAAGAACTCCAAGGAAAGTATTCAAGCCCTTGCGGCGGAGAGTGGACTGTCAAAGGATATCGCAACAGCCAAGGCGAAAGCTCCAAAGGTTTTGGCGGATGAGGACTTCCCTGCTCTCAACAGCCCCAAGGTCCAGGCAGCTGCCACAACACCTGTCCCTTCGACCAAGACCACCGTAACCAAGTCCAAGGCGGCCAGAAAGGCCGAAAGGGCTGCAGAAAAGGCTGCCGAGAAGGCTGCCGAGAGGGAGAGGCTGGAAAAGGAGAAGGCCGAGAAGGCTGAGAAAGCGGAGAAGGAAAAGGCTGAGAAAGAGAAAGCTGAAAAAGAGAAGGCCGCGGAAAAGGAGAAGCCTGCACCTGTGTTGGTTATACCTGCCGTGGCGCCTGCAATCTCCAAGCCAGAACCTCGCCCTGCAGACAAGAAGCCCACCGCCCCAGTACTCAACATTGCCGCAGCCACCAAGGTTGCCCAGGTCAAGACTGTTGAGAGTTCTTCAGCAACGACGGAGAAGTCTGCCCATGATCGGGACTCGGCTTTCCCTGCCCTGCCCACCCCCACGACTGCTTCGGTAGCGTCGCCGCTCGCTAGGACAGCGAAGACCCTTAGGCTGGTCTCCACTCCAAAGACCGAGACGCCTTCTACGCCCGCCAATGCTGCCGCTACTAGCGTTGTGGGCTCCGCGGCCCGTTCGGTGGCTTCCTTTTCTGTGAGACCCGAGACTCCTGCTAGCGAGATGATTTCGGATAGTGCCTCTATCGTCTCGGCTTCAGTCTCGGCCTCTCGCACCAGTTCACCACCGCCGTCGAAGATTGGCTCTGCCCCTGTCCGAACAACCACCAAGAGTCAGCAGAGGAAGGCAAGGAAGGAGCAGCTCAAGAAGGAAACGGCCGCTGTAGCTGCCCAGCCCGTCAAGTCTGATCCGAATGAGGAGATCGGCCCCATCATTGGCCGCAAGAAGAAGCAGAAGAAAGAAAAGGAGAAGCCAAGCCCTGCCACCAACACAAACACAACACCGACTGTGAGCAGGCCGGAAACTCCTGCACAAAAGGAAAAGGAGACGCCTCCTCCGCCGCCCCCCAAGGAGGTGAAGGAGGTCAAGGAGGAATCCTCAACGTATCGGTCGACAGCTAATGAGACGACCACGCTGACGGATGACGCCTCTCCTATTAAGACCAGGGGAGTGAAGGAGACACCAAAGTCGGATGCTGTCTCGACGACTCCTCGGACTTTGCCGACACCTGCCTCGATCTTCCAGGATTTGCAGAAGTCTGGTCTCGTTCCTGAAAAGATCGATGATTTGCCTCTTTTCAAGCCGACAAGCACAGGTTTTGAGAAGTCGAGGAATGATCACAGCAACGCTGCCGCCAGGGAAAATGCGGCTCGGAACGCCATGACGCCTACCAAGTCAATCGTCACCGACGAGGACCAGGCAGCTCTGCTCGCCGGCCATCCTGTCCGTAAAATGATTGACGGGGTCCGCATTCTCCTGACGCCCAACGGCGACTGTATTCGCAACTTGACGGAAGAAGAGGAAGATCGGTTTTTGGAGCTCCAGGCTCGCATCGCCGAGACTGCGTCTAGTCCTGCCGCGTTTGTTTCCTCTCGCCACGAAGCCGGTGGTGGTTTCAGTTTGATCAAGGGGCGGGCCGTGCCCAACGGACCGCCTGGTTACTTCCCTCAGGCTCCCGGCCAATACCCGACGGATCCCGTGAACAAGATCCAGCGAGAGGAGGCGATTTACTACATCAACCAGTACGTCCTGCCGCGGCTGAATCTCAATGCTAGAGACATGAGCTTCCCCAAGGCCATGTCCAACTGGCACCCCGATCAGCGCGGCGGTAACCCAGCCGCCGCTGCCGGCCTAAGCTCGCTCGCTCCCTGGATGTACGGCGCCGGCTCTCCTGCTTCGCCGCATGACACCGACACAGTGGCACCCGAGATTAGCTATCCGGCCCCCGTCAGCGCCTTCGCCGACGCGCACGGTTCCTACCTGGACATGCCCCCCTCGCCCTCTCCATCCGCTCTAGACGATCCCATGGGTCACAAGGGCGCGGGCCTCAACATCGGCGGTGCCCCAGGTCCATTCGGCAACGTGCCGCTGATGAGTCTCGAAGACGCCGAGTCTGCTTTGTCTGCTGCCCGTAAGGAGGGCGACAAGATCGAAAAGCACTTCAACCAGACCATCAGGAAGAATAAGAGACTTTTGATGGCCGTCGGCAGCAACCAACCCGTCTCTGTGGGCGGTGGCGCTAACGGTGCCGGAGGAGGTGGAGGTGGAGGCGCGCATTGACTAGGCTTCGACACTAGAGTCTTTTTTGCTTCTTCTTCTTCGTCCGGTTCTGCGTCTGCGTCTGCGTCTGCGTCTTCTTCTGCTTTCTCTTCTTCATCAGCCAAAAACAACAACCAAATATATCATCGGAGGGCTTCATCAGCCACAGCAACAGCTACCTCCAACGCCACAATAGCTGCCATCGCGGCCGCCGCTAGCGAATTAGAAGCGCATGCTGCCATGATGCTGGCTGAGTTTCATGGTGATGTGGCGGCTAGGGGGTATCACCCGTTCATGAGGGTGCTCCGGATTGCCGGCAGGTTGAGCGGCGTGGCCTTTGCGGCGGTGTGGTTGGCCGTGGTGATGATTGAAGGGGTTGTGGAGTTGTTGGCGAGGGGAGGGGTGTTGGCTGTCGAGATAGTTTGCGCGGTGTTGGATTGGGTTGGGGCTGATTATTGATGACGAATTTGTGGGAAGGTAAGGTCCCGGGTCGAAGTTGACGGGAAGATGGAGCGAAGGAAGTTAGAGGAAGGAAGGAAGGGTTGCGTCAGCCGTTGTGAAAGGGAGTTCAAGGGCACCTGCTGAATGGTTTGCAAGACATCAGCGTCAAGACTCGGGGCTCGGGATAGCGGATACCGGGTATTGGATATCAGCATCAATGATTTGTTATGGTTTATGAAGCAAAGTGAAAAGATAGAGACAGAGAGAGACGGTGGGAATGGAAGAACTTTGAAGAGCAAAACTCGTAACGGCGTTTGTTTGATCCTTGTGTGAATGTGCATGTCAAGAGTCCTAACCATGTCCACCGTTATCAACGTTCCCTCGAACTCGTCAAGAATGTTCACAAGTAATGGTACTCGTCAAGTCTAATGGCGCGGCTGTCGCATAGTAGGTACATGCTTCATCATGCCCACATGGGTTCATGGAGCGAACCAGCTCCTTGGTATCGACAGGTCGACAAGAGCGATGCTCTGAAAGATGCATCGAGATGCACGCACACAGCCGGTCTTGATGTACACATGAGCCGTTATGAAGCTGCTGGGCCTCACCCTTTGAAGCATACATAAAAAGAGGCAACTCCCCATGCTCACAGTCCTCCAGCCCACTCAGCCATCGGGACCTCGCCAGTTCAATATTCCCAAGGGAAAAAAACTCGATTATCAACTGGGCGGTTGCAATCCCCGTAACAGAGGACACACCGTTTTCGTGAGCCCTCCTATCAAGAAACTTGGTTATCTGTCTCTTCACAGCCTCTCTTCCAAAGTTCTTTTCTCCCTCGTTAAGATTGGGTCTGATCATTGACGACTGCGGTGACAAAGCCTCACTGGTTACACACACCCGTCACACACACACTTCTCGCACTGAAAAATCTCACAATACTTACCATCACCGTACCGTATACGGCGCCTTCCACACAACACAACCGACATCACCAAAACCACCCCTCACCACATTATCCAAAAAATATTTTGAAAATATTATGATCATCTCGCACATCATACCTTTCACCAAAAAGATAAAGAACAAGGTGAAACGGACACCAAAAAATAGGGCTCAGCCGGGGATTGAACCCGGGACCTCTCGCACCCAAAGCGAGAATCATACCACTAGACCACTAAGCCGCATGAACTTGCATGCAAGTTCAGTTTGTTTGTTGGAATGAGTGCATTTTGCGGAAGGTTATAAACTGCCAGGACGCATGTGGTAAAGGTGCCACGGATGGGAAGGGAAGGGTTGGTGCGTCGCACAAAGTTCGATTTTTGTGAGACGATTTCTCATTTGGGGTAACTGTCGTTGGCAGAATTTCTGGTGAGTTTCCGGTGAGTGGTGAGCCAAAGACGAAGTATCAGTGAAACGGCGACTGAGAGGTGTTTCGGCAAAGTGAGTGGGTTGGTGGTTATTGGCGTGTTGGTTCGTCTGTTGGTCGCTCAATTTGGTGAAGGTGTGCAAGACCAAAGTGAGATTTTGGCCATGTCAATATCCAATTCGATGGTTCGTTGCGAAGCGAAGCGATTCGCAAACTTTCAATCAGAACAAATGCCGGCGGAAACCAACAACATTTCTGATGTTGTGCTGCAATTTGATCAACCACGAAAATCACAAAAATTTGTCTTTTCCGAAAACAAAACTAAAAATGATGCAAGCAGGGGTCCTAACTGATAAGAGCACATCTTTTCGCCACGTGCTTTTCCGTTGCCGACCACTGACACGGATATGGCGGCCTTGGTTTCTTCGGTAGCCGGCCGGGAAGATCACCGACGGGAAGGTGAGGGTTCACCGCGGTGTGAGCACGGATCACCTCCAGGGTTAATCAAGGAGATCCTTCTCCCAAACTTTATCAGACAACAGTTCATGAAATGTTTGGAGCAATTATTTTCTCTGTCTGTTGAATCCTGATACTGAGGCCGTTAACGCTAAATTTCAAGCTGTTGATACACCAATTGTACACCTATGACAGCAACATTGCTCCCCAAACTCCATGCGTGTCGACGCTCGCCCAAAACCTGGAAATAATAGCCATGATGATAAGGACGGGTAACCACTAGCCCTTCCTTACTTCTCAGCAGGCGCGTTGTCGTTAGCTCCTCCGGTTCCACCTGTCCCAACTGTTTCCGTTGTCCTCGTCGAATGTGACGTTCCCGGCCTAGGACTGTTCGGCACACTAATCGCTCCCGCTGGCCCCGGAGACGGGCTCGGCGACGCGCCCAACTTCTTCAACTTGCTCCCCTTAGTATTAAACAAGCTTTTAACCCTCCTCAACCTGCTCATCACAGCCTGATCCTTCTTCTTCCTCGCCTCCTCCGACTCATCATCATCATCATCGTCTCCCTCTCCTTCTTCATCCCCTTCTTGATCACCGCCAACATGAAGTCCACCAGGCGCGCTACTCGGTTGTAGTCCTGAAGATCCCCTACCATCAGGCGTCATCGGCACTCCCAACAATCCGCTCGCGCTCCCCGTCGCCCGATGTGGCGTCCCCTTATCCTTGTTCCTGCTTCCTAGTCCAAATCCAAACCCGCTGGATTTGCTCCTCCCGTGCATCAAGTCCCTGCCCTTTTCTCTCAGCCGGCTTTCGTTCCTTAGTCCTTCCACCAACACTTCCCAGGCGGCTTTGTCCGTTTCGCCCCTGGCTAGGGGTTTAGCGCCTGGGTTCCGTTGCGCTTGTGGGTTCTTCCAGGGACAGAAGAAGCGATGCTCGCGTAAGGGGTCGAGGTGGTCCATAGGCGCGGGAACTAGGATGGTGTTGGTCTCGAGGTCGACTTGTTTGGACTTGAACATCCATAGCCCGAGGCGGCGGAGGCAGGTGTGACAGGAGGCGGAATTGGGGACGGGGGTGCCGAGGCGAGGGTTGGAAAGACCTTGCCAGCCGAGGAGGGCCAGGGCAAGCGCGGTACGGTTGATTATTGGTGGTTGTTGTTGTTGTTGTGGTTGGGACGTGGATGGGTTGGGACTGGCGGGTTGTGAGGTTGTAGCGCTTGATGGTGAAGGCTCGGTAAAGAAATTGGGTGGGAGGTACGAGAGGATGGTGTCGATGTCGAGACCTTGGGGAAGACGGAGGTTGAACTCGTAAGGGAGGAAATCCTTTCGTTGGCAGAGCTCATCGTATCGTTGGCGCAGGGTTTCGAGGGCTAGTTTGGGGTTGGGTAGAGGTAATCGTAGAAGCGAGTCTGTCGCCAGATATGTTAGCGTTTGTCAAAAATCTCTTCCTTTGCGCAAATACTCACCATCGCACCCCTTCTTCCTCCACAAGCAATCCTCTTTGTGCGATGTGATGATCAGCTCAGCGTACTGGTCCACCACCGACTCGGCAATGTCTGAGGCAATCAGCACTGGAATCTCCTTCCCATCCACCTCCTTGCGGTTTATTTTCACGGCAATTTCGTTGTTGCAAAGGGTGCACTTAACGCGCTCCTTTCCCTGGCAGACCCAGCCGCGCTTCGCCCATTCGATCTCGTTGACCCGGTCTGGCTTGGGTGTCCAGTCCGTCAGCTCTTGGAAAGTTGCCAGTCGTCGCACGAGCTGGTCGCGGTCGCCGGGGCAGTATTTGGGTGGTTGGAGTTTCGTGACTGGACTATCTGCCTTTGTACTCGCTGGACCGGCGTGGGAGTTCCATTTCCTTAGGGTGACGTTTTGGATGGTGGTTTGCCCTTGCCCTTTCGTCGGGGTCGTTAACGTGATTGCGCTCGGGGTGGAGGGCAGCCCGCCGACTCGGCGCTTCTTACTGAGATAGTCGAGGCTATCGTTGGCCATGTTTGTAAACCTCGAGCTTGAGGTAGAGGCGGGGGTCGAGGTCAGCGAATCATTGTCGCGCGTCGTCGAGGAGGGCGAATCTGGGTTGGTCGACTTGCTTTGCCCGATGCCGTGAAGCAGATTATTGAATTTTCGTTTGACGGTAGCGTTCATGGTGTCTGATTTTCGCGATCGCGGGGTCTCGGTGTTGACAGTTCGATACGTATGGGGGTTATGAGTCGAATGCGCCGCCAGCGACAATGATGATGACCGTTGCAAGGTGAGTGGTCGAGCTCGCGTAACGGTTCGTTTGGTGTTTATAGAAGATGCAATTAATGGTCCGACAGTTCCAATCCGTCACTTGCTGGACTCGTGGAGGGGGTAGCAGCGGCAGTTGCTTCGACAGCTGTGCAGCCAATAGGTGTTGAAGCAAGCTTGGGATGTGATGGTGGGCTGCTGAAATCAATGAAAGAACCAAAAGATGAGAGGAAGATAAGTTGAAGTTTGGTTTGGTTCCTGGCCTCAAATCGACATGGACAGGGGAAACGCGAGCGGCTCAGTGGGTCTGAAGCTACTAATAAGTGGGCCTTTCAGCGGCTCCTTAGTGCTTAGCGCCGGGCATCTCCAAATCCGTCTCTAACCACCAAAAGGGACGTCATGCTGTTTCTGAACACCAACAAACACTCAGCAAACATACACTCCAATACTGGCTTGTTTGTTAGCTCGATACCTCGGTTCGATGGCTCCAAGCGTTTAGATTCCTTATGAAGAGGTTTGTTCTTAAATCGAACTATAATTTCATTTCTATTATACCTTTCAAGAAAGCCCCTATACCATATCAACTTTTCGTATTCCATTTTATAAAAGCAATTAGCTATATTATCCAATCATCACGAGGTTTCGTTCAAATCTAGATACCTATGGAAGTACCGCACTAACAACCAAATTAGTATTGGAATGTAAGATATTCACTTTTCAACCCCAATCTTCCTCGCCCGAAACCCAATCCCAAACACCCTGCTCCGTAAAGCCAATGAGCTCAACACGACGCTAATACTACTCAAAGCCATAGCCAAAGCAGCCCACACCGGATCCAGCTTGACGTGGTTCCCTTTACTCACAATGGGATAAAAGGCACCCGCGGCTACAGGAAGAGCAATACAATTGTAGACCACCGCCCATCCAAAGTTGAACTTGATCCGCCGGAACACCGTCGACGACAGATCCAGGAGCGTCACCACACCCCTCAGGTCGCTGTTAATGAGCACAAAGTCCGCGCTGCTGATGGCAATGTCCGCTCCCGAACCAATGGCAATGCCGATATCTGCTGTTGCCAGCGCCGGACTGTCGTTGATGCCGTCGCCTACCATGGCTACCATTGCACGACGGGTGCTGGACTCGCTGTTGGTGCCGACGCGGGCTTTCTCTGTGCCCTGAAGGTATCTGATCTTATCAGCCTTCCCCGTTGGAAGGACTCCGGCGATGACCTGGTCGGCTGGAATGCCGAGCTGATGGGCGACTGCAGCTGCGGTGATGGGGTTATCACCGGAGAGCATCCACACGCGAGTGCCTCGAGACTGAAGAGCTTTGACGATGAGCGGTGCTTCGGGGCGAATGGGATCGGAGATGGATAGGGTAACAGCAAGGAGCCATTCGCTGCTCTGATGTCGCCGTATGGCAACCAAAGCAACTGACTTGGCCTCGCTTTTCCACCTCTGCAATGCCTGGGCAGTCTGGTCCGAGATGGCAACGGAAAAGTCCTCCATAAGCGCTTCGTTGCCGACAATGAGATCAAAGCCTTCTTCGGAGTCAACCCCAAGACACCTGGCTTTCATACCCTTGCCGGCAATCTCCTGCAACTCCTCAACCTGGGCTTTGGCGGACGTCTTTGCCGCACAGAAAGCGACAATGGCTTTGGCTATCGGATGGCTGCTGTTCTCTTCGACCGCCTTGAGTGCTGCCAGGACGATGTCATTCCCATCTACCGCATCAGAGAATACTTCGGAGTCTGTGATCTTGGGCTCTCCTCCCATTGTCAAGGTGCCAGTCTTGTCGAACACCACACAGTCAACCCTACTGGCCTTCTCAAACGCCTCACCACCTCCCTTGGCTAAGATACCATGCTTCGCCGCAATGCCACCGCCGACAAAGATGGCTGTCGGAGCAGCCAGCGCCAGACCACACGGACAAGCCACCACAAAGACGGAAATGGCGAACTGCAACGCAAAGACCACCCATCCGCCCTTGGTCTCCCCAAGGAAATCGTCTGACACATGACCGCTATATCCAACAGCGAGCCAGATAATCCATGTAGCCACCGCAATCGCAATGACGACGGGCACAAAATACGCCGTCAGCACATCCGCCACCTGCTCAATGGGCGCTCGTCTGG